CACAACATTGACTGGCTTATTAACCAAGCGTGAGGGCCGTATTGGGAGAATATCGGCCCGAGGTCTTGACAGTATGGACCGAGCGTAGCGGGGTCTGTACAAAAAAGACCAAGGTCTGATATTTTTCCAGTACGGTCCCGAGCAAGCTTGGTTAATAAGAGATTTATTATACGACTGAAGTTCAAAGGGACACAAGTGCAGTATCATTCGGGACCATTCGGGACGGTGCCCGGTCCAATACTGAGAGAATATTGGACCGGCAATAAAGCATTTTGATTGGTTGATTTCAGTTATTGGCCCTCTCTCTGCCCGAGTCGTGTAATAATTTTACTTACTAGGCATGTGTTTTTGTTTCACAGGCTTGCCTGTCAATGCTACAAGTTGTTTTATTTTCAAACTAGTAATCATTGAAATGAATGGCACCACTGATATGACAATTGATTGTAACACAACCGATCTAAATGCCAACGTGACATTGTTATTGAACAATGATATATTACCTGTTGGAGGCAGAGTTACACTTCACAAGCAAGTCTTCACTATTCACAACATTACAACAAGCGATTATGGGCAGTATGACTGTGTAACCAGAAGCGGTTCAAGTACCAAGGTTTGGTGCCAGACTACGGTGCCTTTCATTAGAAAAGGTATAACTCTAATTGAAATATGAAGTACTTTTACTCCCAATTTTAAATTAGAAATTACTTCAACCTCAATGTGTACATGTGTTTGAGGCATCCAACTGATTTCTGGGAGGTATGAGTTTGAGCCAATTTTTTAAGTCAAACTTTCATTTGAGAATTTTCATTTTTGTGTAGAGGGCAAGGGCAGGGGAGAGAAGTTAGGAATGCATGTCTACCCATCTTGTGAATAATCACTGTTCCAGCAGGTTGTCGAAAAATTGTATGAAATGTTTTTTTTCCAACCTTCATCTGTGGGTTTGTCAAGGATAAAATGCAGCCATTCCTTCCAGTTAAGTAGGTAAGCTGCACTTGGAAAAGGAACTATCCAACTTGTACCAATGAAGATGAAGACTGGCCACTAAGGCAACAAAGGGATATCGTGTATGGCAGTTAATGATTGAGTGTAATATGTCTAAACTAAATTTTGTCTTCAGAGGAACTGGTACGTTATCCAAAAGTGACTCCTGAAGTAAAAGTCATAGGGGCTGGTACAAGCACAAATTTCACCTGCAAAGTCAAGGTTGAAAATAGTTTCCAGAAGTACTTTACCTTAAAGTGGTTTAGAGAAGAGAATGGAACTCATGTAGAAATTCGTCAAGATGACACAATGTACAGGCAAACTGTTGTATCTTACGGGCATTCTGTTCTTACAATTATAAATGCACAGCCTACACCAAGAGAGGGTGTAACATTTAGGTGCCAGGTAACCTACAGGGATACGGCATCTTCCTTCTATCCACGTTTGATAGTAGTTGAAGGTGAGTATCAGTAACAATCATCAGAAATAACATAATTTCATATTCTGACATGCCTATAATGTTATTGCAGTAACGTTTCCATTAAAAATGCAAAATGCAAATTAGAACTAATGAAGCAAATCTGATTTTTCGTAAGAGCAGCTTCAAATCTTCATCATTGATGTGACTGTTGATTTAAAAGCAAGCAGTTTGTAGATCAAGATAGATTTTAGACTTACTGGTAATTTCAATACTTTAGGATATGTTTGTAAACCATTAAGATCATAAGAAGGAGATTATCTTTCCTCATAATAGAACAATACAGTTTTTGTTATATTCTATATACAAGGCTAAAAGATTAGGAAAAAATTAAAATGTTTGAACCAAACGTTTTTGGCTGTTTGCCATCATCA